CCTGTCTAAAATTCTAGAGAGACTTATAAATAGTAGACTGATGAATTACCTGGAAAAAAATAAATTGTTGTCTACCTCTCAGTATGGTTTCCGGCCTGGTATTTCTACAAATAATGCTATATCAGACCTAACTAACGAAGTCGTTGCTAAACTTGATAACAAGCAGAAGGTGATGGCTGTTTTCCTCGACCTCGCCAAAGCATTCGATACAATATCAGTTCCACTACTCATTACTAAACTGGAAAGGTTGGGTATTCGAGGACTTCAGCTTGACCTTTTTGTAAGTTATCTTGTTGATAGACGACAGTATGTTAGGATTGGAGATTTAATCAGTAAGGAACTTCCGATCACGTATGGTGTGCCCCAGGGCAGTATTCTCGGCCCTACCTTATTTTTAACGTATATAAACGACCTTTGTAACATGCAATTAAAGAACGGTTCTATTTTTACATATGCCGACGACACTGCCTTGATATTCTTTGGCGAATCCTGGGAGTCCGTGTTTTACTATACGCAATTGGGCTTTAATTCAGTTTCTGCATGGCTTTCTCAGAACCTTCTCACCCTTAACGTGGATAAAACAATGTGTCTCCCTTTCTCTCTTTCAAGTCGTGCTCTTCCATCCGCCACCTCTTTCACTGTCACGGCTCATTCGTGTCCATCCTTTTCTAAAAACTCCTGCTCTTGTCCATCCTTACTTCGCACTCACCACATCAAATACTTGGGCGTCCAGCTAGATAGCACACTTTGTTTTAGCTATCATATTGAGAGTCTTTCCCTACGGTTACGTAAACTAATTTATGTTTTTAAAAACCTCAGTCTCGTTGCTGACGTGAAAGTTTTGAGACTTGTGTATTTGGCTCTCTGTCAATCTCTCACGACATACTGCATAACAGTTTGGGGCGGATCTTCCAAGCAACAACTTCTTCGGCTGGAACGAGCGCAACGTGCGATACTCAAGGTGGGATGGAACCTTCCTTTCAGATTTCCAACCTCTGACCTTTACAAAACCTGTGAGGTCCTTTCAGTACGTCAGCTGTTTATCCTACACACGGCTTTAACCAAACACACACAAATCTCCTTCGACTCTGACAAAATAAACACTGTTCGGCGTAAATGCACTGTTTGCCCTTCGACTTCAGTTTCCACTAGTTGTGCACAGCGTCATTTCTGTTTTTTGGGAGGCTATTTATATAATAAGATTAACAGTACTCTTAATGTCTACCCCTTATGCAGAGCGAAATGTAAAAAAATTATTACTGACTGGCTGATCACACACAATAATTATGACTCCACTGAAAAACTATTAACTATACTAAAATAAGTTATATTACACATATATACACCCCAACACGCGCGCGCGCGCGCACACACACACACACACACACACACACACACACACACACACACACACACTCGCGTACATGCACACAAACACACACGCACAGAGATTTTTCTATTTTTTCTATTTGTTATATTTTGTAATTAGCTATCAATTTTGTTTTACTCTTTAATTTTCATGATTTTTGTTAAATTTTATTAGTGTTACTTTTCTGGTAAACTTGTCAAAAGGGTGTGAGCCTGGTGATCTGTAACACAGGTCCCCAACCTAGTACAGACTCCAGCTCTCACTAAGGTGCTTCATATTTAACATGAAATGTAACAAATCCGCATTTTGTAAACCTTTTTGAGAGAAATAAAGCATTTTGTATTGTATTTGTATTGTATTTGTAACCCCGGCCACTGCCGGGGAATACCGCCTCTCCCATTTCAATATCAGTTATGGAGTACTGTTCGCACCTTTGGGACGGGTCTGCCAAGTACTTGCTCGATGCCTTAGACGGACTGCAGCGCTACGCCTTCCGTGTTGTCAACGATCCTCATGTAACTGAGCATGCGGAGTCGTTACAGCTTCGCAGAGATATAGCGTCTCTTAGCGTATTCTATCGCCTGTACCACGGTGAGTGCTCTGAAGAGTTATTCAACCTTATCCCTTCCTCTCCTTTCCATCAGCGGACCACCCGTGCCGGACTGCGTTGCCGCAGTTGGACGATCAGTTCAATACCGTCCCGCACTAAAAAGTTTGGCAATTCGTTCTTATGCCGAACCATCAAATTGTGGAACCAACTCCCGGCGCATGTATTCCCTCCCCTCTATAACATCGGGTCCTTCAAACGTAGTGTGAAGAAGCATTTGGCCAGACCGGCAAAATGATAGTGACGGAGTGAAGATATTTGTGTTTTCCATCCGTTACTCTCATCTCTGGACTGTATTCGCACTTTCCATCAGGCGCGGTGCAGTCATTTTGCCGAGTCACAATAAAAAAAAAAAAAAAAAAAAATGTTAATTTTTTTTAGGTCATGGACGAAGCGAGTCTAAACAAATAATAAGTCTGTCATAAAGCAGTCAACTTCAAAGTGCAAGCTGTATTGATAAGTCCTGCGTAGATGACCCTCGAGCCCCAGTTGATAACTCTCAAAGTGAGATTCCTTTGAAAACTGGAAACACTTCCCATTGAAGCATCATCATTCTTCGAGTTCCCTCTTTAGTTACTCGACGCGGCAACTTGTTGCAAGCCCAGACAGACTAATTAGGTTGTTTCGTTAAGTGCCTTACATACAAGAACGTAGCAAATTTAATTCTACAGGCAGTCTGGTACACAAGATCCAAACAGGAACTTTAGAATAATGTGCAAATTATGGGTAGACAGACTGTGGAATCGGAGTAGTTAACTTCGTGACATTGACATATTATTTCAATTTATTCATTACCCAACTTAAGGCACTGATATTTAAGGGAGAACAGTTGCTTCAGAACTTTACGAACGTACGTTTTCTGTCGTAATACGACAGAATACTTGAAATGTGTTAAAAAAAATAGGTTGAAATGTGTAAATATTCACGCGATAAAATGCAATTTTGAATTACTACGACGAGTCTCAAAAACCGTTCCATCTTCAATCAGTTTTTTTAAATAATAGTGTTGTATTTAGTAACATTAATAACGCAGACAATCATAGCCCGGCACTAGAAAAACCCTGTGTCGCGGGTGCCATGGACACACACATAGACAACCGCTAATTACACCCAAACTCACGAGAGAAATAAATATAGGCTATAGCACATACCACATAAATATACAAATATTTCTCTATTATTTTTACGAGTAGCCCAGTTAGATGAATTCATGAATCCAGAAAAATGTTATCAATAACAAACTCTAAAAAACCTTTAGATTAATTAACCTCGTATCTGAAATGATTTAATTAACTTTGAAATAATGAATTATTTTATATTGTTACGATATCTGATCATCTGATACCAACATTGTACATAGTACCAAGATAAACTGGTAACTTAAACACAGAATATTACTTCATAATGTGTACTGATTATCAATTTATTTAATCTTTTGATACCTATCTCAACTTTCAAGTACAGTAGCAAACAGATGAGTGTGACAATTATACGTAATAATACTGTTTGTATAAAATACGTTAATAATGCAATCTTCAAACCGTAATAGTTCTGTTAAGAGGGAGCATGGCAAAAAAGTTTTGACGTTGGCTCCGCCCAAATTTGTGAAACAAATATATGCCTGACGTTCGCGTGACATGCGAAAGGAGATGTTGAATATTGCGCATTAAAAGTACCAAATTCGTTTTAGCGGAATAACTCTAAAACTAAAGGGATTAAAAAAAATCCGTAGTGACAGTTGTCGATCATGCATAAATATAATTAATTATCTAATTTTTGTCCTAATAACATGTAGCATTTCGAGGATAAATGTGAAAATTAGAGGTCATTTCGTGATTTTTATCTATCGAGGAAACTTTATTGCTTTATGTTTCTGATTAGTGTCTATGTTTAAATATATATCGTGTAGTTACTCATACAATATTTTATTTTTAACTCTAAAGTGGATATACCCCTCTAAAATCAAATAGAAGATTAGGAATTTTTCCTCTGCTCCCTCTTAAGGTTTGCTCGATTATTTGACAACTTCAAAAAAGGAAAAGGTTCTCAATTCTATTGTATTTTTTTATATGTTACTCGATTTTACTTTGTGAACCAATTTCGATCGATTTGATGTTTTTTTTTGTTCGAAAAGTTTAAAGGTGGCAAATTAGCGGTTAAGCAAACTTTGAGGTCGATTTTTTTTAAATAAAAAGTTATAATTATTTACAGATAATCGACAAGTATGATAAAAAAAAATGGAGTAAATGCGTAAGCAAGACGATGGACAACGTAATTTATGTCGATCGACACTCTGGAATTTAAATTAAACACCTACAAATTTGTTCGATTTTAATCTTGATATCCATCAATCGCAAAAACTAGATAGTGACGATCTTCAAAAATTGAGCAAATCTGTAGACACCTCATTAGTTCGATATGATGTGTTTTGACGGTCAATATCGTCAAATCATTTTATCAAACGACAGTGACGATCGTCAAAAATAGGACAAACCTGTAGGCTTTACTATTCCAGATTTAGGGAAGTCAACATTTGGATTTAAGAACACAGAGCTGTGCAGTCATCGTTATGACTACCCTATAACATCGTTATAAAGCTTCACTCAGAATCAACCCGGAAATCTTATTACTTAGTTATTACAATCGATCAATTTGTGCTCAAGCATCCATTGTCACCGTCACTTCTTAGAGGAAAAGGTGTAACAATATCAAACAATACATTGTTAAGGTCGTTTAACACATCGTTTGATGTGAAATGTATTAGGGTGCGTACAGATCTGGCGAATGCGCCTGTTTGCAAAAGGCTCGCGAGCTACACACGCGCATTAAGACGTTTATTTGTTATATGGAACAGCTGAAACTTTTTATTAGTCTTCCATATAACAAATGAAATTGGAGTTATTATTGTAAATTTCTCTCCTGTAATATTTTCCAAATGCCCGTTAAACGTCTTACCTTTCAAATGGTTACTTGCTATCGTTAAAATGTGTAACAAAAAGTAAATCAATTTTTCTTTGTCCATAGGTATGAAGAGGCGACTGGGACGAGCCCGTGGCTTCGTGATTCGTATGTTCGACGCATTGTGCAACTGCACGCAGACCGCCGCAGCCGCCGCTGCTCGGTCCACAGCCCGAAACAACCCTTTCACTAAGCGTTAACGTGATTGCAATGCACTCGAAACTGTATTAAATGTTCCCACCGTGATTATTAGCGTGTAACGATGAAAATCTGATAGGTTGAGCCAAGTGCTACAACGCCACAAACATTGAAAAGGATGATGCAACGATGAGCGCAAACGAATTACAACTCTTGCTCGTCAATGAATACTCTGCTTGCTTTTGACTTGGTTTTATACAATGTAATCGAATGTTCTCGGTGGGGACTAGTTCAAACACGGAAGTCATGGTAAGAGAAGCAGACGTATCGATCTATTAAAAAGGATAGCAAACTTACACCCTACAACTTTTAAATTAATTCCTCTACTCAAAAATAACCTTCTGGGCCAATTCCAAAGACTTTACCAAAAATGATAGCAGAATAGTATTTTCCAAGTCAGTTACCTATATATCTAGAACATTTGAAAATAGTAGTTCTGTGGAATTGTAAAGAAAACATTTAAGGAAGACTAAAACCAAGTAAACGTTTATATTATCTACATCCGAGTCAGAAATCAATATCTTTGTTATTAAACGGCTGTCGTGTAAGATTGTGGGGAGGCGGCGATTCGGAAAAGCTATTGAAAATGTTCATTCCTCTCACTGGACATTTTATATTCTGAGACGAGTCAGTCTCGGGTAAAAGTAGTAAATAATTCGAAGCAAGCTGCGTGAAAAAACTTCGTTCCGTCGAAACGAAATCCGGGATCGTTCAAGCCGAGTGGTCCGTAGGGATTTTTTTTGGACTCCTGACTTTTAGAGGATGTTGTGTCGAATCGTTTTTGGTTTAATGGTTGAAGTAAAAGAAGAAACAATCTTAGAAATACCTACATAATCCATGTTCAATGTGGGATAAAGTACCCTTTTATAATTAAATGTAAATATTGATATGATATGTAACCTTGAGCAATCTCCCTGAATACCTTCGTGTCTTCCTTAGTATAGTGTCCCTGAATTACAAAGTTGAGTATGTTGATGGATATTGAATATTACTGATTAAAAATCAGTTCGAATTTCTAATAAGATCCCATGGTCACTAGTAACTAAGATGGTGTTAGTCGCCAAATAACCCTTTAAAAACCGAAGTTTGCTTGAAGATAAAAAGCAATTTAATTTCCAAATGTGCTACAATCTCTTATAAATAACCAGCTATAATTGTCCATAGATATCTACTAGTCGATACCAATGTGTGTAATGTCTTAGTAGACCGGTATTAATAAACAGCTCTTAAGTCTGACATTTAGTGCATCGGTTGCATTGACTTTTATTTATGATCGGTTGTGATATCACTTAGATCTTGAAATGTATCTGAACAATTTAAGCATCGGTATCTTTGATGACGCCAAGTCAAGTGACTAAGATATGAACTTATCTTAAGTGCTTAGTGACATTATTAGTAAGCGGAAATTTTGAGGACTCTGATGATGCGTAATTGTTGAGGTGCACTTAAATGCAAGTTAATGTATGTGTGCGTTTGTTCTTATGAATTTTTCGATTGCGACTTGTTATTCTCACACACGCTGAAGTCGACTCGACCTCCGTGGTCGAGTGGCTTGCACACCGACTTTTATGGTGTGGCTATCTCTGAGAGCCCGGGTTTGATCCCCGGCCGGGTCAATGTAAAATAACTAACTTTTTTATTTTATTTACTCCGGACTGGGTATTTGTGGCACCGTCATTGTTTCCCATAACACAAATGCTTTAGTTACCTACTTTGGGATCAGAGCGACTTGTGTTATGTTGTCTAATGTATATTTCATATTTTAAAACATCTGATGAGCGAGTTGTTTGATTTTGGTCGAAACAGCGGTTCTTTTGCAGAAAAATTGATTTTTTCTTAATGCCACTACATTGCAATGCGTGCCGAGATCGTTTTATTGTTAAAGAAAGTTGATTAAATAACATTTTAATATTAATACTACACTTGAGATGGATTATTCTTTACACGGGCCACAATACAATAAAAAAATACAATACAAAAATTATTTATTGTACACCAAAAAAAGGAAGCAAATACAATACTAATACTAATAATAATGGTACTTCTGCCAGAACCTTTGGATGGAAGTAATTATATAATTCACAGGAAAAAGACTTTTGTCCACTAAAAGTAATGAAATGCAAACAATGCTAGAGCGAAATTACAGCAGGTTCTGTTATAATTGGGATAAGACGAAGTGTGATTTGATTTCGATGATTCTTTTTTATTGGGAAGAGGGTACCTCAATAGTGATCCCATTAAAATGAAAAAAAAAATATTCCACCTCTAAGGGTGACAAATTAAGGGACGAATCTGGTTTCTTGGAATTCACCCACTTTCCGTTAATCGATTTCTATAAAACTTAAGAAAATAGATTTCACAAATTTTTGAGATTGGTTTGATATATTTATAATTTAGACAGTAGTGGTATCATAACAATAAGGTTGAAATTCCAAAATCAGATGTCGCTTAAAACACATAAACAACAAACGTTATTAGAATTTAAAATCGTTGCACTGTCAGCTTACCTAAAAGTTTAAAAGAACCAACTACTTGATTGAGTAGTAGAATATAATAAATAAATGATAGTTTCGAGTGTTATTTTGAATTTCAATTAGTTATTAACAATGACCATGCGATCAAAGCACCTTTGTGAACCTCACAGTACCTTTGAGGCCGTTGTTGTTCAAGACATTCTATTTACATCAACTTTGTCTATCAACAAACTTACCTTTGAATTATATTAAACACGGTGTATTGTGATCTGTGTGATGACGCTTATAGAAGATAAGGTAGTTATAGATTTGTAGATGCTGTCGTTAATCCAATGCCTAATGAATACTTTAACTGGATGTCGAGCACTGAAACTAAAGCGAATTATTTTGATTGTCATTCCAAAGAAATTAAGCTTCCTTTTTAGTTAATCAGGAAAATACATGTGTACCGATCGTCAACTTAGTCCGCTTTACACAGTCACTCTATCGCGGGTCATTAGCAGCGTGCAAGATTGCGCGCGGGAAAGTAACGTTCTTTCGCGCGATATTGGTCGTGTTCGCTTTTGTTACACCGGAAATAGCATCCGTGTAAAGACTAAGGCGCTCCGCAGATGCAGCAACTTTAGTGGATGCAATTGGCAACTTTTTACAAGTTTCCATTAACGGTTGCCGGTTGCCGCAATTTTAAATAAACTCTCGAAATCCACGGTCAAGAATGACGCTGTTGGGGACGGGGAGGGAGTGAAATTGGCAACTGAGACAATCGGTACTAATTTGCAAGTTTGTAGTTGCGGCAATTAAGAATTTATTTAATCACGGATTTCGGCAATTGAAAACTGTAGTCGATTGCCGAAATTGTCAACAGAAGTTGCTAAGTCTGCGCGGTTTCTTGAAATTATATGAAAAACGTCGTAAACAGCTAGTTGCCGAAACTCGATGATCAAAGTTGCTCCATCTGCGCAACGCCTAATAACGCAGGATAGATGCAAGAAATTGGCTCGCGCTCCCTTTTCCTACCAACGTCTTTACCTTACTTACTTACTTATCCGCGCTCAATCGCTCAGGCTTGCTGTATCACGCGCGATAGTGTGTCTGTGTAAAGCCCGCTATTGTTCTTCAACCGGCGCGACGGCAGCGGCGTGACGTATATTATTGTTTAAAGAAAACGCTAAAGTATTTTTTAAATGAACCCATGTGTCAGTTTTTAAGACATTTTTTTTTGTTACGCGATTACGCCGACAACAGTCCACATAAATACCACTCCGACATTTGTGAATCGATTTCGATGAATTTTTTGATCATTAGAAGTAGTCCCATTCAAATTTAAAGAAAATGTTCCACCTGTAAGTTACTTTATTGAAACAAAAGGAATTTCCGCTACGGCTAATTTTACGCCAGTCAAATTTATCGCCATCGATAGGGCGCACATGTCTAAGAAAGATACAAAACCATAATCTCCCATGCAAAAACAACGACTGATGCGGACGCGAAATGACACGCTATTACGTGATACGCTCGTAGTGTTGTAATAATAATGCTACTCATCGACATGCTACGGGAATGCAGTATAATACAGTGTAGAGTCAGCGATATTAGGGCATCGTGCTGCTCGATTTGAAAAGATCTTATAATGGGTTGGCCGAAAATTCCGTTCCGTTATTGCCAATTTTAAATAAGAATTTAAGAAGAGATTTTAAAGAAGATTAGAAATAAGCGGGAAAGTTTGATGTTTATGATTCATAAGAAATGTCCAGAACTGAGGAATCATAAAGAATTTTTATGCAATGTTATCTTTACAAAGCAATTAGAATGGAATATGTTACCTCATCCACAGTATGTTGTTCTATCAAAATTATTTAAATGTACACGACATAATTGTGCCTTCCAATTACCTAAAAGCGGCTAAATAACAAGTGGTCAAATATCCGTTTTAAATAGTAAAAGATAGAGCACAAAATTCTTTTTTAAATACAGTTAAAATTAGTTAACGTGTTCGACACTTACTCTAACGATGCATAGCTGAAATATCATTAAACAACTTCAATATTTTAAAACTGGGTTACAGTTTTTTATGATTTTTGTCACTTAGCCACATTTTAGATAGCGGACGGCATAATATATAACGAAAATAGGACTTTTTGGAAGGCGAATTCTAAAATTACCGAAAATATTGTAACTCTACATGGCCAATATGTAAATAATCGATTAAAGTTTGATTCGTAATTCGATTATTTAGTCTTTATATTACCGGAACCGATTACCATAATTCATTTTTTTTTTTGGAAAGGGGTATTATTCAAATTTGAAGAAAACATTCCGCAACTAAGTGTGGAAAACTAGGGCATGAATTCGGTTTGTTGGATTTCTCCCACTTACCGTTAATATCAATAAAACTTGGCAAATAGATGTGATTCCTCAGACTTTGGAGGCCGGGTCTTTTCATAAATAAAGGTTTTTTTGGCCAACCCAACCAACCAAGCAACATACTACCTTAGTATTTAAAGTTCTGCAATCTCATATTGTTCTTTCACTAGCCTTTGCATTTCGAGGAAGACATACACATACGTCTAAGGACCTACGATCACGATGATCTCTTTTGCATGCGGTGCATTAAATTTAGCATTAATAATGCAGCATGTATTCCAATGGGTTATAATTAGTAGTTGGATATTGGGATTATTTATACCTAAAGTTAACTTTTCCCCGTAAATTGCTGTCGTAATATAAAAAATAAAATAAAAAGAGCTTCATAAATACATTTTTGTTCTTTTAAATGTCGAGATTTCGTAACACACTATAAATTTTAAAAGGTCACCAGGAATATGTAACAACGGGATCTCGGTACTGTGATCTGCTAGAAGTGTGTGATTTTATTAAAACTTCAAAATTTTATTCTTGATTTCCGAAGTTTTTACATCTTTTTGTTTATAATACCTAGTGACGGAACGAACAAGCGACAAGTCTGTCCAGTTGCAGTGCCACTCAGAGTCTTGAATCGCAAAGATCTGAGTGGCACTGCCCATTTTCTATATCTATGGCACTGTCACAGTGCCCGTCGCCCTGAGATATAAGTTGACAAGTCCCATGTGATTGTAATTTCATCAGCACCCTTACCCTTCAAAACTGAAACACAGTATTGGTCACATTACTGCTTGGCGGCAGAAGTAGGTAAGGTGCCAGTACTTCCCTGGACGAACTCTTTCACAAGGATATCTACTGCTACCAAAACTTTTCACTTTCTATATACGATAAAAATTAATTCAAATGTTACATAACATTAAACGTTTAGTAGCAGTAGAGGTCCTTGTGAAAGAGTCCGTTCAAGGAAGACCACCTTACCTATTTCTGCCACCAAGTAGTAATCTTAACATCGCTGCGTTCCGGTTTTTAAGGGTTAGGGGTGCTGGTGAATGTAATTTCACATGGCACATGGGATTTGTCAACTTATGTCTCTGGGTGACGGGCGCAGTGGCAGCCTCCCTCAGATCTTTGCGAGTTAAAGCTCCGAGTGGAACTGCAACTGTTAGGGACAGGCGTGTCTCTTACCACCAGGTCCATGACTTGTTGGTCCTGTCACTAGGTATTATAAAAAAAGTTTATTTTTCTTCGTTTTTTTTCATAAAAAAGCGCTTTTCATGATTACGAGCAATTGTATTGTATTGTATTAAATTGATCATTATCAGATGGCTAATTACAACCGCTTGGTGTACAAATAGGGACACCTGTGAAGCGTGTAATACGTATATTTAGGAGACCCCCTTATAAATGCGTGAATTGTCTTTATGCATTTTTCAATGGTACAATATTAACGGGTTTTTAACTAAATCGTTTCCATGTTACACCCAAAAATCTGAAATTCCCTACAAATACAAAACACGAAAGTACACTGCATAATTTTTACGAAAATTCACACATTCATTGGGTTTTCCGTCGAACCCCTCGTATATTGGAATGAGTAAACATTTTTATATATCTACAACCATTTCTAGGATATTTATTATGAAAGTTTTCTGACGAATCT